AAAAAAAAAAGACGTGTTAGAACAAATAGAGATAACCTTGAGGACCGATTACGCACAAGTGGCACAACAATGACTTAAGAAACTTAGACATAACCAGAAATATATCTTCTTATGTCATGGAACATTATTATTAAGCATGCACTATAAATCTTTTCATGGCCATTATCACATGCCTCTGATCCAAGGAAGAACAACTGCTCTAGGAAAATAAAGTAAAAGAAACAGTCAAGTAACCCAGACATACCTCTACGTGCGCAAGCAGGGAAAGACAATCAAATGAAAGGGGCCTGAATTTGTATTTTTGTACTTCTAAACACTTTAAATATGCAGAAATTTCAATGTTTTCTGATGTACTATATTTGGCAGCCTGATTTTCTTCAGATTCAGACTGTGTGGCCTTTGAGGACATTATAGATACATCTTCTTTGGTAGCTTCTTGGCTTGGTGTACCACCAGCTTTCTTCCACAAGTCAACCACTGTTGGCTGCCTGAACTTATCCTCAATATTTGAGTTGGCTGAAGGCAATGACGACTTTCCTCTGCTTCTTCTTTTACTTTGTGAGCTGCTTTTACTCTCTTTAAGAGTCTCACTCATGCTTTCTGGTTCCTTCGCATTGTCAAACTCAAAGGTCGGTGACAACTCAAAATGTGGATAGAGCTTGGGCAGAAGAATTGGATGTTTTTTGAGAAAATTGTCCAATATGCACTCAACATACCTGCATCATCAAACTAAAGTTAGAGATTACATTCCAATGAGATTGAATTTCACCATGACATTTGTTGACAGATAATAATCATTACAAAATGAAAATGAGACTTTTAAATCCTGCATACAAATTTTCGTAAAGAGGATATGAGACATACACGAGGTTTCTCAAGCGTTTCAATAGTTTAATAATTATGTCTTCCTTCGTTGCTTGGCTTATGGAGTTGCACTCCTCAACAACTTGCCTTGAAAAGACATTTAGCTGCAAAACAAACAATTAGTACGATAATTCATTCAAATGCAAGAATAATTTCATATACCTAATATAGGTGGTCGTCGGTGGTTTACCAGTTCTCTCATCCAGTTAGCCGCATAATATAGCGAGAGTATAGCAATCTGCTTTTGCTTTGCAGTTAAAGACAACCAAGAGAGTTCAGAAAACAGCTGCCACAACAAGCCCATAAAAGTTCAGCATAGAAGTTGTGGCCACTTCGGAGAACATGTTTTGCAGAGTAATTCACAATTCCAGGTTAAAAGGGAGTCTGAACTCCAGGTTAAAAACTGAGAACATGTTTTCAAAGAGTCTTTATTGGAAGCAATATGGTGCATGCCTTTGGAACACATCATGCAGAAAACAACATAAACAAATAAGTACAGTAAACAAAAAAAAAAATAATAGAAGGGAAAACAGAAAAAGAAAAAGAAAATATTAGATGCACTACGCACATTAACAATAAATAATCAGCTACTTTTCATCAAAAGAGTCTTTTAGCATCATATGCCCAACCTTGGAGGAAGGAAGGTGAAATGGGCAACCGAGAAGAGCATCAATGCCTCCAAGTGATCCTTGGTTCGCCAATCTCTCAACCTGAAAAATATTGGAAAGATCGTGTTATTATTTCACCCTTGAATGTAAAATCATTGTGCACTGAACAGGGACTCACCACAGAAAGTAACACAAATTTTGTAGGAAGAACTTGCAATGGCGAAGTGGGTCTGCGAAAAGAAAATTACAAAGCTCAATCATCTATACAAGATAGACGAAAAATAAAGCAAGAAATACACTATCCACTAAGTTTATGCGATGATGAAGACCTAGAATCGAACTTCAAATAAATGATGTATTCTGGGTGAAGTGGAAAATTTCTAGATGACTTAATATTTGATTTTCAAATGCTTATCATGATGGTAAGAGCATGTTCTTTCTGATTCAAAGTAGTCGTCTGTGCAAAGATGAAATGGAAAGAAAATAGGTGAAACACTAAATGACGAAAGAAAGTAGGATGCCAGACAAAGGAAAGTGACTTGAGGTTTCCTTCAGTTCTAAAAGACGAAACAATATTCTTTGCACTTAAATTGACAACTGAAACGTTCTCCATAGCTTAAGTTTATTTATAGGATGACAACATTCCACAACATTCCAAACAACTTTAGGATAACAATTTGAATTGATGCGTACTATAAAACCACTAAATTGTTATTGGATTAGAGAGGAGTTTTACATGTAATGTTCTCCAGAAAGGCATAAACCCTTTTAAAGAAGTAGCCATCTCTTTTTCAAAGCCCAGCAACTGGAACTATTTCATAAATGAGTGTCAGAAGAACTTGAGCCCAAGAACTGCTCAATCGTATGACCTTGATACTTCACTTAGTTGGCATTTCTAAAACTAAGTTCTTACAGATGTGATATTTTTAAACTTTAATTTTTTAGTACCTTGAATAGATAGCAAAACTTACCTACACAATGGGAAAACAAGTGGTAAAATGTTTAAGCATATAGGAGATATATCACCATCAAGGTTCATCCACAATTCACCTGCACCGATAGAAAAAACCAAGCTATTAGCATCTCCTACTTATATTATAGAAGTATCAAATTGATTGCTATGACCTTCCAAACTATAAGACAAGTCTGAAACAGCCAAATTTCCTCTATCCAGATCTGATAAATATGTTGACTCGAACTCTATAACTTGTTTGCCAACCCTACAAAAGAAACAATAACCGTCAGTGCAGACGACGATTATTAAAGCTACTAATGTCAGCATTCTCTATAACTTGTTTGCCAAACCAACAAAAGAATCAATAACCGTCAATGCAGACGACAAGATCAGAAACAACGCAACACTGATAATATTGTTAAAACTACTAATGCAAGCATTTTATTATACAAGAAACTAAAGGAAAATCTTCAACAAATTTTCAATTTCTATAAATTGTTCAAATTAACATTTTACCTAATGCACTATCTGTAAACAGGTGAAGTGAAGTTAAACTTAATGCTTATCTCATCTTGTTTAAATTTGCTGCTTCCTGCATTCTAGTAAACTTACAGATTATCTGGATTGTTATCAAGAATAATATTTAATCAATGGGAAGTCAAACGAACAATTTGTTACTCATCGGTACAGAACATTAGTAGCACTTAATGAAAACAAATCCGTTCGGTAACTATTGAGGAAAAATTACTCTTAGATTCTTAATATCTTCATGTTTTAGGTTAAGGTGTCTATATAGATTGATGTGAAGAATGATATCAATCTGTTAAAACCCTCAAGTCAGTTTTTTATAATTATTCTAACCCGCAGAATATAAATGTGCTTAGATAGGTGCTATGATGTTGTCCTTCGCTTAATACATGGTGAAAGGTGCAGCACCAAATCTGTGTTCCACATCATTTGGAAATATTATGGGTCAGCATCTTCAATCTTCAAATTAACTATATAAACCACCTATGCAACATCTGCTGCCACTTACAGACAGAGGCAGGTCAATTCAGGTTCAAGCTACAGACAGGCTTAGGTGGATTGTTTGTCTAAAGATTAGTTCTTACCAATTATCACATAATAAGTCTCCGCTTTCACTATTGAATGAAATTTGCTGGAATATAAAATTCAAGTAGTTAAAATCACCAATTTAAACTAAATCAATGAACCCTTCAAAAGGGTTCCTCGAGATACATTTTGGCATGAATCAACAGAAGCCAATGCAAAAATCTACAACATGTGATAATATGTATTCAGTGTCAATTCCAAAGAATAAGATGATGTTCTTACTATTCATAAATCATAAGTTAACAAGTACGAGGGTTTAGACAACATTTTCAGGATACTGAGAATGGATTATGTAGCTATTTGCTAAGGAACATAATAATTAATCAATAGAGCGATAAATCAACCTTAACGTTCACTCGTTCCCAAGCATCTTCCCTTTTACTTCAGAAACACACAAATGGAAGAATAATGTTATATTGATAAGCAGAAGTGCTCCAAGCGTTCTAAGACAACTCAGAATAAAAAGCTTGTTGCTGTTCCCCTAATTATCTTTTCCTTTTTTTTTTTTTTCAAAAATAAAGGCAAATTGTTGAACCCCACAATTGTATATGGCAGTCAACAAACAAAAAGAAAGCATGACAAAATTTACCAGCACTGAGTGGAGGAAGGAAGTACCTGATATTTAGATAATAAAAAATTGAAATGCACAACCAGTCTATATATTATTATAGCAAAAGAAATGAAACAAACACATTCTCTATATACCACTCACCATTCCATAATAGTTGGATGAAGAGTTTTGCTTTGCAGAGTTAAAATCAGTTCTTCATAAAAGAAAGCCGATGGTAACGGCAGCTGTTTACAAGAATCCAAAGATAACTTCAAGAGTTCCACAGCTTCCTCGTGATTTGACCTCTATAAAAAATAAATAAATAAATAAATGAGTAAACCATATTTCAAAATCTTTCAGCAGTTTACGCACAGTGATATTTCATGAATCAAAAAGTACCATGACAACATAAAGTACAAGTGAAGGGATATTAATCGATCAATCTGGTATACACAGGAGGGAATTATCTACTAAGAACAAAAGATGAAGGATATCTAAATGATAAGGAGATATTTTCCTTTCATTCTTGTTAACTCTCCAACACATCCATCCAGACAACAATGAGGACAAAAACTCAATGAAACCACCCAATTCCATCAAATGCTTTGTAAGAAAGGTTTACAAGTGAGGCTCAGCACATTACTAGTGAAAGATGTGGGAGGGAGGTGTTATTTATATCTCCAATGGAGGCAACTAGCTTCACTGTTCCGATGAGGCCCATCTTCTTATATGTCAGGTCAGAGTTATTTATCTGCAAAGTTAAAGCGTTCAATATATCAAACTCATAACAAATGAAAGAGTGCTAAGAATATATACGAAAGGGAAAAAAAAAAAAAAAAACATTCATGAATAATGATCAAAAGAGGAACCAAGAGTTGCCTGTTTTCTCAAAATCATTAGAAGCTCATTCGCGATAGAACATCCATAAGGTTGTGTGCAAGATTGAGCAGATACTGCAAGGCATATGAAAAGTTCATACACCTGCAACACGAAAAGTACCTTTTAATGATTGATCGATAAACGTTCAAGCCAATTGTCAGCAAAAGAATAATATAATGATGACAAAGACCTTGTGGAGACTCGCAACACTAAAGCCGTCCAAGTAATCCAAGATACCTGTAAAGTGGAATAAAAAAAGAACAAGAAATTACAAAAGTAGTTTACAAAATCAATATAGAATAGCTAGAGAAAAACAGATTGCAAAGGATGATTTATGGGTATGACTACCAGTTATGTAAGATGAAAGTGAAATCAACTCCTGGGACTTCTTAGAGGCCAGCTTAACCATAGCGTCTAAAGCAGCACTCACTTCATAGCATATACCAGAGCCCACATGAGTAAGTAATGCCCCTAGAACCTTCAGAAAACTACAACTCATTAGGTCTCTCACCATGAAGGAAATCTCAACTAATGATTTCTGGAGGATCTTTGCATAGATATTGATGTTATCAAGAAAACAGCTCACTTCTTGTCTTGTGTAAGCATCATCAAATTCTTCAAATAGACAAATATAAATGTGGATACCAAATTCCTGAGCCCTTTGTTCTTTGCAACCCAACAAGTACGCAGATAGTGATAGAAACGTGCGTAGAAAGTCCTAGTTTAAAACAGCAAACATAGAGAAAAATGTGAGAAGAGCATTTGAAGAGTAACAATTCTTCAATATAAACTGAGTTTGACATGCTCTAGTACCTTCGGCAAATCCTTGATACCATGAATGCATTGATCAAACATATGATCTTCAAAACAACCTTCAACAATTTTCTTCTTGAATAACTTTTCAACACTCCTTTGCAAAGATTCACTGTTCATGAATATGAGTGTAAGCAACCATATGTCTATCACTTTATGATCACAAGCTTCCCCCAAGCTTTTCAATTCTTTAAGCAACTCCATACAAAGAATCTACAAATAGAGGTAAGCGTTAGAAGAAGAGTAAAACCAAAAAAAAAAAAAAAGAAGCAATTAAATACATTTATATATATTATATATCAGTAATATATATGTATATAAATAGTTGAATGTGTGCATGTGAGTTAGTGTTATCGAATGGCGGCCATGGCGGCGCCATGGCGGTCATGGTGGTTATGGCGTGGCGGATTTTTGACAATTCACCATGCGAAATTTGTGAATGATGGTGGTCATGGCGGTGCCATAGGCCGCCACGACGACCGCTATGGCGGAATTTTGGTAAACCGCCATGTACAGCCATCCGCCATTAATAAAATTGTGAGTATACATGTGTTTACACATTTAAATGTGGTGTCGAAGTGCATGTAAAAAAACACTAACAACTCCGCAAGTGTAATAAAAACCAACATTTTTGAAGCGCAAGCTAGATCTAAGAGAATCAAGGATTGAAGCTTCCGTATTGTCCACAACCGATTTTCCTTTAAGTTTGCTACGCTGCGAGGTTCGTGCATGAGAAGCTCCCAAAAACTTCAGCTGTTCACGTATATGCGAGAATATTCGCCTAGCATTTGACGTCTTTGCGGAAAGAAGCAAAAATCTAAGAAGATAGGGCATGTGCTCGATATCAATGGTCCGTATGCAGGATAGAGCTATCATAACCACCTTCACGATTTTGAACACAAAATGTAACTTGTAAGAAACCAAGAGAGCAAGGATGTTAATGGAAATCAGTAGTAACCACAACTACAGGATAAGTATCAATCATTAAGACCTGCTCTTGCAACAAATCGTCCAACTTGAGATTGGAAAACGAGTCAAGCACCGGAACAATAATAGATGAGTCCTCTTGGAGCATCTGCTGAAGTGAACTAACAACAGTCTCATTATTCTGGTCACCTATGATCTCAGGTAGCGCCTCTATTATCTCTTTCTTCAGATGATGGGGGCAAATTGATAAGACCTGTAGAAGTTTCTCGACAAAGCCATCGGAACATACGAGAAAGTCAAGCCACCGGAATTGGTTCAGTATAAGCCTTGCTACATCATCATAGAGACAGGAGGAGTGTGTGAGTCCAGAACCACTCGCATTAGAGTCCCCATCAAAATACTCGGGAAGTTTCTCGAGCAACATGTCCAAAAGGTCTTGCTGGATGCACTTAACCAGTAACAATACTCTGACTAGGCTTTCACTTGTTACTGATCCAAATCCATCCCGTTGAGAAGGCAACAAGACCCTACACATACCGAAACACTAAATTGAACAGCAGGCCATAGAAACATGATCGCAGACTGTCATTTTTGGAAATTCTGTACTGAAATTTCGGCGCAGGCTGCTAGTTTCGTTTTACACAAAAAGCAAAATCGAATACAAAAACAACGAAAAAAAAAAAAAAAAAAAACTGGGGTAGCAGTAACTGACCGGCGAAAATTGGCAACGGACGAAATATGCTCCGAGAAGCCCTTGAGGAACTGAGACCGCAGCGGGGTATCATCGGAGAACAGTGAATCGAGGCGCTGGCGGAAGCCGTAGAGATCGGAGGGGAGGCACGGAGGTCCGGCTGGGTTTACCAGCGTGCAGCCGGCGTCCGCCAACACGGCCACCATTTTGTCAATTGGGCCTTGGCTCTGCGGAGTCGCCGTCGTTCTGCGTTCGGCTGGAGCCGGCACATTCGCGGTGGAGGCTGTTGGTTTAAGGCGCTTGGCCGGTAGGGGCTTGGTGAAAGGGGGAACAAAGGGGCTGTTGGGCTTGGGCTTGGACGGTCGTTTGCGTGGAAGCATACCGTGCGTGTGTGTGTGGACTGTGTGAAAATTGTTTGGGGGAGGTGAAGAAGCAGCAGCAGGTGGATACATAGTTGAATTGCGAAGAGGGTAAAAGGCGCCAATTTTTGGGAATGTGAGGTATGCCATGGAAGCAAGGGTAATTTACATCTTTAACCCTCACGAAAATGCTACAAGTCTATATATATAGAAAGATTTATTTATCATTTTTTAAAAATGACAGATCAATTTTTTAGTCAAATTCATACATCATTAATTATTTTCCTTTAATGGCAATCCTTTTTTTTTTGTTACTTAATAATTAACAGAAAATTAACGGGAAAAGCGCCCGTTTTTTTAGGAAAAAAATTGATTTTTTTTTAATTATTTAGTATTTCACGGAAAAAGCGGCATAATATAATATTATAACAAAGATCACGATAACGTAAAATTTTGTATGTGTAAGTAAATAACAATTTCCAATCGTTTTATAAAAATCTTTTTTTTTTTTTTTTTGTTACTAACGGATCATGCCCGCTGGCTAATAACAAATTACAATGCTATTGAGATAATATTTGTTGAACTAACAAATAAACATTTGGTGGTAGAATTTCTGGATTGCCATAATGGAGAGCTGATCATGCCCGGTATTGATCTCCCGTGATAGCATGGTGGAATTTTCTTGATTTGGAGTGTTGTTCATATTATGTAGTATGTACTATGGATGTGATAAAATAATAAAATTCCAATAAACATAAATTTTTAGATAGGATTTAAAGAAACAAATATCCAATATCTCTTATATGAAGGAATTTATTATTCAAAATACACATTATCCAGACTTAATTGTCAAATAAAAAAGGCATTAATTGTCAATGACGAGTTAACCGCCCGCAGATTAAGGTAAAGAAATAATTAGTTCGGATTTTGCACTATTTAAAATTCATCATTTATCAACTAAAACTGCACAAAAATGAACTTTATTAGACAAAGGTTGTCGAAATAAGAACACACAAAATAAAAATGACAAGAACACACAAAATAAAAATGAGTCAAAATAAAAATGACAAGTGCAATTTGCTTGAATATTATTGTAAAAGATTTTGCCACATTGAATATTTTTTTTCAATCATATCAATAATTGCACGAATATTACTGCTAAAAATACATATTTAATATTTTTTCACTCATATCAAAAAGGATCTTTATATTTGCACTTTTTTAAAATCTGTTATATTTTAGTTATTCATTCAAATTTCAATGATTAACTATTTTTCTTTATATTTCAATGACAAGTGCAGATTGCATTTACATATGACATTGTTATCTATTCTGTTAACAGTCTATTTAGGAGATTTATTAGATACATGCAAATTTAGTTACAGACAAATCATCTTGATTTTATCATGATTTTTTTATGGTAACAATTGTGTGAAGTATTTTATCTTCATAGTAACTTATTTAAAAATGAATGATTTAGAGTGGCATTCAAATCATTTTGAACGTAACAATATTTCTTTAAAAATTATTTTTTCAATGTCTTCTTATAAATTGGAATGGAATTAATAAAAAAAAAAAGAGAAAAACGATAGATTAAAAGAGACATACACAAATTCGTATATACAAATTTGTATAATTTCTCACAACATAATTTTACAACAAATGATTTTATGATTTAGAAATGATTTTATATTTTAGTAAGAATAGTTTTTACATAATTCTTTCCAATATTTTCGTGTAGCATTTGTGAGATATAGTATAATTCATTCTTTTCCTTTTTTTGGTACATAGAAGGAGGCCATGGGCCTGATAACTACGAAATTAAAACGTGACGTGGGTAAGGTACCCCACTGATGTCATGATCAAGCCAGTTCATCCAGTCCACTGAGGCTCATAGTATAATTCATTCTAACCAAATACTTGAAGTTCTGTATTTTATATTAATTAAATGCATTAGCATTGGTGAAACAAAATCTTTTATTTTATATTTTATTGTTATTTTATATTTTAATAACAATAGGTTTTAACAATTACTTTTTCAATATCTTCCATCAAATTAAATGAAATCGATGCAAATATAAGAATCAATTAATGAAATCGGTAAAAAATAAGAATGATAGAATAAAAGAAATATTATGAAAATCATTTCACATGCTATATGCATATAGACAATGTTCATAGAAGAGATATAGATAATATTCTTATATCTACTATATCAATATCCAACCATATCTATATCTATATCTATATAATGGACCAAACAATTTTACCAAAAATAGATGAACTTTTCCCGCTCAAACTTTTTCGGCTAAAATTGGGAATATTTTTTGTAGGTAAAGATTGTTAATGATTTATTGATCCCGTGGATTTTTATTGATTTAATGATTTATTGATCCAGTGGATCCGCCAAAATATCTACTATATATTATTTGTATAGCAATATACACGCATATGATAATTTAGGTAAAGATTGTTACCGGTATCCTTACCTTTATTAGCAAAGATTTTATAGGCCACTTGACAAAATAATTATATACGGAAACATATTTATATATATATAGATATTCAACATATTTGATAGTTATTTCTAAATTATTGGAACTTTCATTTGCATATGATAATTATCTTTATTAGCATCGTTTGTTGATAATTCTATATAGAGAAACATATATAATATATATATATAGGTAATGGATCATATGAGAATAAGAGTTGGTGAAAGAAATAAGAACGATTAGATATCGTTGGATATGTCCAAATAACGGTTGAGATTAAATATCTCACGCACATAAATCAGATTTCACGCGGTGGCATAAGTGTAATTATAGCTCAACTTTATGGTGATGTTTATGTACCAGAGGGCACCACTATAATTTCACGTAACAGAATGGGGTAAACCCTTGTTTTAGAACACATTGATTGCAGAAATTAAATCAGGGGCGCATGTACTTCCTTCTTCATTCTCTCTTCAGACAATGGCGGTGTGGTGATAATGGCGTCGGTTTCACGATTAACGTGAGGGTTTCGAGCCGATTTTCACTCTGATTTCTACCATCAATAAACGTTTAGGTGAGATCTTTCCAGATCTAGCGAGTTTGAGACGTTTTTCTATTATCATATTCACGACGATTTTTGGACCTTTCAGGACGAAGCTGATGTTTTTCTCATAGATTCGTAAGAGCTCTCTAGTGTCTTTTTTTATTTGTCTGTGCATGTTCATTTGCCCATTTTATGTTTAGATAGATACCTCTGTTGTGATTATGTTTGGATATATTTTGACCCTGGAGCGCACATTTCCAATCTAATTGGTATTGACTAGTTATTCTTAGTTCTTGTTGTCAATTACTGATTCTTTAGCGATGTAAAGACCCAGACAGTAGACCGGCAATTTGGTCTGTTAATGTTTAATCTGTGATGGGTGTAGATGTTGTGGGTATTTATTGGTGTGGTTAATGTATTGGAATTACCTCTAGTCTTGAATATTTACTAGATATAAAGATTTGTTAAGACTTTAACGATTTTATTATGAGATTTCAAAGAAAAACAAATCACTCCAAATTCTGTGGATGTTGAAGTGCAATTTACAAAAATAGTTCTACATATAAACTATTAGACAATTTGAGAGAACCATCTCAGTTATTCCGCTCACAGATGTGATTCTCTTCCCCAAACCATGGTAAAATATATCAATCTCCATTCTTAATCATGGATTTTTATTATAGCCAGTTTTCGCTTGTGGATTTTACTGTTTTCTTTTTTTTTTTTTTTTTTCAAATCGGATTTATGATTTCCGAATTGTGTTTATGAGTTTTGCTTACTTTTAATTTGTAGCTCTATTTTGGCGACATATTTTGCTAGTTGCTCTACTAGATATTGTTTTTCATAAATGATTCTTTACTTCTATTGACGATAATATTTTGTACTGCGTTGCTGGGTTATAATCAAGAAATGGAATGATAATGAATATGAGGTGGAAGTCCTTTAACATTTGTGTGGAAATCTATATGTCAGGTTGTTTCGGACAGGAAGAGAGCAATTTTCTATATAAGTGTACGAGCTTGAAGAACTAGAGAACTCGCATTCCAGGATGATAGGTTGTATTGAGCATTAATGTACAATATGCATATATTGCTTAGTTTTGTTTGTTGTATGTTGAATCGTACAATATTCACTATTTATTCATTTTTTATTTTTTATTTTATCAGTGCCGGAGAGAACCCCCGATGCACCGGAACGTGTCAGCGACCGCCCTAATAACGACGATCTTGTTGATGATGTGCCCATAGCAGATATTACAACAAACCGACCTTTATATATTGTCACGCATGAGTGATGGGTTGTTCGTTGTTTTGGACACATTAGTCTTATTTGTTGGCATATTTTGCTTCCTGATGTGTGGTACGTTCGTCACTAGATGTTTGCTTCTAGCGCTATGGTTTTTGGATGACGATTCTAGTAATTTGTCATGATTTGTTTTTGTCGTTTTTTGGCATGGTAACACGAAAATATATATTTTATTTGTTGTTTTTGTGGTGGATGAATGACGCGATGCGGTTATAAAATATTATGTAGAACATGTGTCCGGTTCAAGGTTTGTGGATTAGTACACGGAGCTACTGGCATTATTTCTGGGTGCGTAGATAAAGTGCGACGTTACATTTTATAAAGTACAACAGTGTGACATATAGTGTCCAGTGTGACGATATATAAAGTGCATTAGTGTAGCATATATATATTGTTCGTGTTGCCAGACGTGTGAATGTTTTTATGTCGATTTGTTGCAATAACAGCCAATTATAGTGTATTTTTTCATCAGAAATACGTGTATGTATTAGATCGTTATAGGGAACGATTTCGTACTTGTGTAAATACACGGGTCCATACACTACCGTTCTTTAATATACCGTTCATACACTAACCATATGGTATCAACCCCAGACTGAATCGTCAATCAGCGCATTTCACGTGTCGGCTACATCTTTCATATCGTATCACGTCCTTTTTCCGGAATAATAATATCA